AATACCTCTGATACACATGGGGGTAATGAGCCCAGAGAGGGACTTCATTTGCCCAAGGCCTTCCAGCACACTGGAAGCAAAACTTGAGTGTCCCAACAACTAGCCCTTTTCCCTGGGAAGGTGTGGCCTCAGCCTTGCCTCCACACTGACATTCTAGAAGAAATTTCTCTGATACCAGTACTTCTTTAGACATCCTACAAGCTCCTCAATTTTGCCTATATTAGAGAGTACTCAGCACTTTGGGGCCCCCACTCAGCTCTGGTTCCTGTGCCCCCATTTCTACTAGATAGACCCATACTCCACCATCTCCTCCCACCCACACTAGCTTCCTGTGTGTCACTGTGGCTGTGGTCAGTGTGGTACTTGTCTTTCCTACCCTCAGCCCAGTTCTAGATCATTGCTTCCCTGCCCCAGCATCTCCCAAAGCAGAAGGATTATGACCTCAGCTGTCCCTGGATACAGGTCAAACTGCCCGATGGTCCAGTGTTTTTCCAAGCAGAACCCCAGTCTTTCTGTTTTCTACCTGTGTGACTCCGAGTATATTCCTCAACATCTCTGAGCCTCTGCTTCCTAATTGGTAAAATGAGGATGATGATAATCTTTAGGTCATTCATTCTGCAAATGTTTTAAAAGTACCTACTGTGTGTCAGGCATTGCATTAGGAACTGGGAAGACATAGTCCCCACCCTCACTGAACGTGACATAGTCCCCATCTTCCCTGAATTTACATCCTAGTGGGGGAGATGGGCAATAAATAAGTAAACAAACAGAAAATAAGTAGAAAAGGGGGGCTTGAGTTCTGTTAAGTGTTAAGTGCTATGATGCCATGTGAGGGAGTGTGGTGGAGAGTGTTGGGTAGTCAGAGAGCCTTCTGAGGAGGCAGCATGGGATGGAACCCTGAATGACAGAGGAGGCATGCACTTAGGGATCTGGAGGAAGAGCATTCTAGGCCAAGGGTACAGCTGGTGCAAAGGCCCTGAGGTGGGAATGAGCTCAGGGAGCAGAAAGAAGGCCAGTGTGGCTGATGAAGTGGAGGATGGGAGAGAGTAGAGAACCAGCTCAGGCAGGCCCTTTTTAGGCCATGCTGGGGAGGCTGAATTCTATTCTAAGGGCAGTGGGAACTGTTGGAGGGTTATGAGTGAGGGAGGGGTGTGATGTAGTGTGTGTTTTCACAGCTTCCTCCAGCTGCCATAGAGAGAGTGAGGAGGGGGACAGGGCCTGTCTTAGAACAGCTGAGACCCAGAAAGTGCCTGTCTTGGTGCTCAATCCTGACTGAGCCAGGGTTCCATTGTCACTGTTGTCTCCATCTCAGCTGGTGTTATAATAGAGGCTGCTGAGCCCAAGGTCATGCCAAGGGTAGTGGGTGGTGGGATCCCCTGCCTGGAGAGGGGCCTGGCTCAGGCCTTTAGAGGTGGTGAGTGATGTTGGGCACCATCAGCATGTTATTTGGAGGCATCTCATTGGGATGGATGCCCAGTGGCCCAGCTGCACACCTCCCCACCTTGTTCTTGCCACCAAGGCTGAAGAGGGTAGGATCATTTCTTTGAGTAGATTCTCCTGGCTGAAGCTTTGGGTCCTTGACTTTGTGAGAGGGTCTGGCATGGCACCTGGGGACCTAGGTACTTATTCTGCACTTCCAGCCCATCCAGCTGCAGAGGGAGGCTACTCCTGGGTTACCCAGATATTCACTGGGTAACCTCAGGAAAAGCCTATCCTAGTTCCATGCCTCAGTGTCCCTATTTGTAAAATGTAGTGGTGGAAAGAGTGGACTGTATGTGCCTTTCATCCTTGATATCTATAGTGAGTTAGTTCTTCCTTGGATCTCAGTTCTAAGATCAGCCATGCAGGAGGAGAGCATAGATGATGCCCCCATTCTGCAGCTGGGTCCAGAAGGCCAGAGTGGGCAGTGCTGAGTCCTAGGAACACAGGATAGTTTAAGAGTATGGACTTGGGAACATTGTTTCACACCTCTGCCTCAAGACCTCCCCCTCAGGCATCTCTCCCCTGGGCTCAGCAAGAAAGGGGGGTCCTGGCTCAGCTATTTCTCAGCTCAGCTGGCCCTCAGCCCCAGCAGGGACTCTGGGCCCCTGGCCCAGAGTGGAGCTCAATGCTATCCCTTGTCTGCCCACCCCTGCTAAGCTTGGCCCACCTCCGGATGCTGAGGACACGGCCCAGCGCCCAGTGTTGGCAGAACCTCCATCCTGCTTCCAGCTGCAGGAGGACATGGCAGGGCAGGTAGGTCTGGAGCCAGCCCCAGGCAGCTGCTGGAAGTTGGAGGGTGGCTCAGGGCTTTCCCGAGAGGTCCTTGATTTGTCCACAGCCCTGGCTTTGGGGCTGGTATAGACTGATCATCAGGTGAAACCACTTAGGGTCTCAAATCTCATGACTCATTTTGAGCTCAGATAGAGCCTCCCCAGAGGGAGGTACACCACTCTTCTAGGCTCAGCCTTCATATGTGGGTGTGGGAGCTTGAGGCATCCTGGTAGAGTTGTGTTGAAAACCTGTGCCCTAGATCTAGTGCTCAGCCAGGCCCCTGGGCTAGAAAGCAGGCCAGAGGACTAGAACTCAGGCAGCGGGCCAGAAGGCCCTATTCTCCCCTCCTCTTTCCTTCCTAAATGCTCCTCCTACCCTCAAGGAGTCTCAGTTGAGAAGATGACCTCTTGTTCTTCCTCCTCTGAGTACACAACCACAGGGAACGGATTGAAATAGCAACCTCGGCAGCCGGGATTTAGGGCAGACCAGAAAGAATCCCTCACTCAGTGCTTGAACCCCTGGGGTCTCCTGAGCCCAAGATCGGCACCCAGATATTCTAGAGCCTGGATTTTCAGATTTTTTTTTTTTTTTTAAATCTGTGGAAGTTTGTTTGTTTGTTTTAAAAGTAAAATCTTACTCTTGTGCAGTATTCAAAACTCTATAAGGTGCTCAGAGTGGATGGACTGGGACCCCAGATCCCTGCATGTCCTTCCCTCTTCTATCCCATGTTTAAAAACCTAAGGTTAAATGAATCTTAAGTAATATTGTGAGCCTTAAGTAATCCCTTAAAAAACCAAGCCAAACTTATTGCCATTGAGTTGATTCAGACTCATGGAAACCCCCATTGGGTTTCCAAGGCAGTAAATCTTTATGGAAGGAGAGTGCCCCATCTTCCTTCTGTGGAGTGGTTGGTGGGTTTGAACCATCAGCCTTCTGGTTAGCAATCAAATGCCTTAGGCACTGTGCCACCAGAGCTCCTTAAGTAATCTCTAAAGGACCCAAAAATCCCCAGAGAAGAAGTACCATTTCCTCTCCACACTCATCTTCTCTAAATGGAAAGTTCTTCCTGCAGTCTAACTCAGTGTTCCCCAAACTTGTGTCATTTTTAAGGAGAACAGATTTCAATACCCCTTCCCTATAGATTCTTGTTCAGGAGGTCTGGAGTAGAGCCTAGTAATCTGCTTTTTAATAAGCCCATCAGGTGATACTATTGGCCAGGGGCACATAGGAAGTATGGGTGGACCTCACTTAAATCCCTCTGGCTGCAGCTACAGCGGGTTCTGCTGAGGTGGCCCAGGAAAACTGACTAGTCCTCTCTGTTCCTTCAGACTCTCCTGAACCTCCAGGAACCCCTCTTTTTCCTGAGAGATAGGCAAAGGAGAGTGGGGGTACTGGGAGTAGCTGAGAGTGAAAGAGGGGAGGAAGGAAGTAGCCCAGCAGAATTGGGAGAAATCCCCATATTCCTACTTTTGTGCAGCTTTCTGGGATGTTTGGGGAATTAGTCTGTGTCCTTACTGGCAGAAGACATTGAGAGGAGTGGGCAGTGGCCTAGACTGGGTGGAGCAGAGAGGGGAGACTGAGAGTCTGAGGGCCAGACTCCCCCAGCTCCTTATATCTGCCTTCCTCATCCGATTGAGTTAAGCAGGAAGCTTCTAGGAAACATGGGTTGGTTCCACTGCATTTTAAATGGGGCTGGTAGGTAAAAGGAGTCTCCTCATTTTATAGGCAAACTAGGCCCAGACTGGGTAGAGGGGAGTGGGGCTGGCCTGGATGGGGCAGTAAGAAGGCTCGACCTTGACCTACGGGAGGACAGGATGAGCTCAGCAGAGCAGGGCCTGACTCCCCTTTCAGTGCTGTCCCCAGATTGCCCTGTGGCATTCTCATCAGTCCCTTCTCCAGGCTGGACGAGTTGCAGTGGGGCCTGGGTGTGGAGGGAAACCCAAGTCCCTCCTCCTTCCTCCTTGCACAGCCCGAACATTGGGCGCTGGGCACAGCAGAGGCAGCCTCGGCTCTCAGTGAGGCTCCTGGGTGGCTGCCTATCTGCCCAGCACCCTGGACAGCGCCACACACTGGCCCTCCCAGTGGCCTCTTCCGTGGCTTCCTTTTGGGTTCTCTGGGGTAGCCCCTCCTCTGATAAAGCTGCAGCTCTGTTTACCTCCTTGTCTCCTCTCTAAATTCCCCCTTTCAAAGGCAGTCCCTGGCCTCATTCCTTCCATTAATTACAAAGATTCGCTCATCTCTGCCTCCTGGAGCCAGAGTGAGAGAACTCAGAAAGAAGGAAAGAGGCGAAAGGTCTGGTTGCTTTCAGTCTGGTGTTTTGTCTCCATCACTCGCTGCGGAAAAGGAAGACGGGCCTGACAGGGGTGCTGGACCCTTCCCCAGTTCTTCCCAACCTGGATCTACCCAAGAGGGTTTTGGTGAATTCTGAAGGGCACAGCAGAGACACATAAAAGGTAACAGGGAAGCCAGGGACTGGACACACTGGAGTGGCTGGTGATCAGGGAAGATGTGAGTAGGGCAGCCTGGATGAGGCAGGGCCAAGGTGCCTACCCGGACCCAGTCAGAAGGGTTCTGAGATGATCATCTTGGCCATCCTCCTGCCCCCAGCAGGCTGCCCAGGTGCTGGCTCCACTGGGCTTTAGGCTCTCTAGACCTGTTCTGTCTGACTAATCCCCTTCATCTCTGTCTGCCATCAGGTCCAGTGGAGTCCAAGGAGCAGTCAGGACAGGGTTGGAAGCGTGGCTGCCATGGACGAGGAGAAGCTCCCATCTGTACTGCCTGGGGAAAGTGCTGCTGTCTGGGACCCCAGCCTGGAGCCTGAGGCCACGGGATCTTTTGAGGAGGAGCCTGGGGTCCAGAATGGATTGGCAGCTTGTGAGGGCCTGAACAGCAGCCACAGCATCCCAGAGCATGAGATGAGGAGCACCTTGGTGGACACTGAGGAGCCCACAAAGGGTCTGGGCATGGCCCTGCATGGCCTCAGCCTTGGCCTTTCCCTAACCAATGGTCTAACCCTGGGCTCAGACTCGAACATTCTGGAAGATTCAGTGGAGTCCAGGCCCTGGGGGGCTGATGGGCTGTCAGAGGGGGACTGTGCCTCCAGGAGTCTCTGTCCAGACACTGAAGACCCTCAGCTAGGGTAAGTGAGTGTCTCAAGGTAGGGCCCACCACTTTTGGCTGCTTCATTCTTATGTGGCTTAGGTCTAGCCACTCAGCCTGTCTGGTTTTTTATTTTCTCATAAGCAAAAAATGGGGCTTGCATGACCCTGTTTTGTCCTGTTTCTGGGTGTTTTGCGAGGATGGAGCCATAAGAGGACTTTCAAAGGCCAGCAGGCCTGTTGTGCTCTCTTCCACAAGCAGTTGTCATCATGGCCTGTTTCTATATAGGGTGGGAGGGCTGAGCTCCCTCCATCCCAGATTGAGTGCTTAGTGTTTCATGTCGCTTTAAAAATACTTTTACGTGAAAGGTTATCTTGTCCATCCTTCTGCCTTCTGGAGCTGGGAAACTTCACATTCTACAATTTACCCTAAATAGGCTTTGTGGGTTAATCCCTTGCAGCTACATTTCACCTGAGGTTGCCATCAGGAAGTTCTACCTGGAATCTTACTTCAATCCTACTTGCTGGAATTACAGTTCCATTTCTGTCATCCTCACCAAGAGGTGAAGAGATCTGGGGTCTTGGGGATGCCAGTTAGAGGTGGGGCTGGGACAAATGAGTGTCTAGAATACCCCAGGATCTGAGGAGAAAGTGTACAGAGATCTTGGTATACACAGATGCAGGCCCTGGTCTGAACATGGAAATGTGCAATAGAAGTGTGAGTGTGTGCATTATGGCAGGCATGTGTGTGTGCAGCCTATTTGTGTGCATGGGTCTGTGTGGTTGTGGATGGAGGTGTTTGTGCATTTTTAGGTGCACATTTGGGTCTGTGTATGTGTGTGTAGGGTGTCTAGGTGTGGGTAGGAATGTGAGTATATGGGGTCAGGAGCACATGTGTACTGGGTCTGCTGTGGTCATGAGAAAAGTTTGCATCCAGACAGGGCCTAAAGCAGCCAACTGACCTGCAGTGGTGTGGGCCAGGAGGCGGGGGCTTCTTGCAGCACACTTGTTGTATTTAGATGGCATATTTATTTGGGATGGCTAAAGGTAGGGGCAGACATAAGTTTAGGGCTTGGGCTGCTGGCTTCCAAGTTTCTTTCAGGACCTTTTCTCAGGATGCTGAGGTGGATGAGGAGGTGGGGGTTGGGGTACTACTATTCATGACTGTGACAGTGGGACAAGAGCCCCTAAGGGATGGGCTCTGTCTTACTCGGATGTCCCCAGTACTCAGCATAGGCCTGGCTAAGGGGTCTTTGCTGGGCAGATTTTGAGTGTCTGCAATAGGGGAGCAACCGTTTGCTTCCCTCCCCTCTTCCTGCAGTGATAATAGAGGTTTCTGTCAGGTACCCCACTCTTTAGACATCTTCCTTCTTCCACACTTCAGCTCCCAGGCAGGAAGGGACCTCATGAGGCTGTAGTCTCTATTCCTGCTAGGGTCTGAGGGGGAGGAGAGAAGGGGTGGCTTTGACCTTTTCCCTTCCAGGCCAGTGTGTTCCTTCAAGAAGCACGCTAGAGGACCTGGAACAGAACTAATTCCAGTGGCTCAAATTTTAGTCAAAGAGTAAACATGTCTACAAGGTGTACAATAGCACTAGGAAGGTATGTCCTCTTTAAAACAATCAACCATTCAAAATCAAAAGGGCAGCTTTTGCCGAAGGAGAAAATTCAGAGGACAGCAAGTGTTAGGAGAGAAGGAGGAATAGAAATGTGAAACACAGGGCGGAAGTGGGAGCAGTGAAAAAATGTGTGTGAATTGTTGAATGGAAAACTGATTTGCTCTGGAAACTTTCACCCAAATCACAATAAAAAGTTTATATGTAAAAAAAAGACACACACTTAGACTGAATCTTAGGCACTGTGGTCCATGGGGTGTTTGTGGGGAAGGGGCACTTCCCAGCCCTCCAAATACAGATCAGATCTCTTCTAGGTGTCCAGGGTTGGGAGAGAAAGAGCAGGGTGTAGCCAATTCTCTGAGAGAGGGACAAGCTTCCTTGAAAATGATGGGCCTGAATTTGTCTGAAATGGGCTCAGCTCCTGTCTTTCTTTGTTTCTCCCTATGCTGTCTCCACATTTCTGCTTCTCTTATTGTCTCTTTATCTCTGTTCACTTTTCTCTCTCTGTTTCTCTTGTGCTTTTTGTATCTTCTGTCTTATTCTCTCTTTCTTATTTTTCTTCCTTCCCCTTTCCTCCGCTCCACTCCCCTTCTCTCTGTCTTCTTTTTCTCGCTCTCTTTTGGTTTCTATCCACCCCCTTTCCTGCCTTACCTTGTGTCTCCCAGAGGTATGTGGATGAAAATCCTCCAAGGATACCTCAGCTCATCCCTGTGATCTGTTCTATGGGCTGGGACACGTCAGTGAACTAAACAGACCAAAAATTCTTCTTCTTGTGGAGCTTAAGGCCCAATGGGGGAGACAGACAGTAAACAAGAAATATAATAGATAAATAAATTGCATAGTATGCTGGAAGGGGATGAATGCTTTGGAATAAATAAAGGAGGAAAAAGAGATAAGGTGTTTGGGGGCAGGTCACAGTTATAAACAGGGAGGTCAGAGTAGAGCTCTTTGAGAAGGTGATAAGGAAGGAGGCCTTTAGCCGTACAGGTGCCTGAGGGAAGAACAATCAAGGCAGAAGGAATAGCCCACGCAAAGGCTTCTTTGGGGTCAATACCAGGCCCAGCAAGAGCTTGGGACATATGGGTAGGGCCATAGGACCAACAAGAATCTGCACATTCAGCCAGTGAGTCATTCAACAAGATGTCCTGAGCACCTACTGTGTATGTGTGTGTGTATGTGTGTGTGGGGGATTAGTGGGTAGATGATAAACAGATGAGCAAACAATTGTACATTCTGACAAGACCTGGGAAGGATGGAAAAAAGTGAAGAAGGTTTCAGCGGGTCTGAGGCCTCCACCAGTCACTCTGAGGAGGTGACATTAAGGCAAGATTTGAGAGCTGAGATGTGGTCAGCCGAGGTAAGAACCTCCCAGGCTGTGGGGACAGTGACATCATGACCCTGTGTTACACTAGTTGTAACAAAGAGATAACCACACTGGGGGTCCAAGCTCTGTCTGGCACTTCAAGTCCATTTTTTCTTTCTGTAGTTGTCTGTCAGACCTCAATGGCGAAGTGGATCAAGGACAAGGGAGATTTTCAGGCAGCCTTGAATAGTGCTGGAGATAAATGTGTGGTGGTTGGCTTCTCAGCCACGTGGTACAGGCCTTGCAAAATGTTCAAGCCTTTCTATCATTTCCTGTCTGAAAAGTATGGTGATGTGGTGTTTCTTGAAGTTGATGTGGATGACTGTTAGGTGTACAACTTATTGATAGCACTTAAAATAATTGACAGTGCAGCCTACCCTTTATGTGATTTTTCTGTCACTATAAACTGGAAATCAGTGCTCCATAGGTAATAACCCTCCCCTCTCCCCCTCCCTCCTGCCCCTGGTAATCACTAATAAACTTTGGTGTCTATTAAAAAAAAGAGAGACAGAGAACTGCATTCTTCTGAGAGCCCAGAGGGAACAGTATCCCCACAAGGCTTGGGAGGTGCCCCACATGTTGTTCATTGAGAGAAATAATTATTTGATACCTGCAGTGGACCAGGCCCTGGTTGGGCACTGGAGAGTGGGGACCATGTCTGCCTTTTTCACTGCTGTATCCCTGGTACTCAGCCCAGTATCTGGTGCCTAGAGCTCAGTGAGTATTGGCTGAAAAAATAAATAAACATGACACAATCCAGGCCTGCTTCTCACCCCCCAGGGAGCACCAGACATGGATTGGTACAGTCACCAGCCTCTGTAATGGGGACACCCTGGCAGAGCAGTGACTGGGTTCCTGCATTTCACAGGCTAGATGGCCTCGGGGAGCCAGATGTGCGAGATGGCTTCAGTGCCACATTCGAGAAGATTGTGGAGTCAGAGCTGCTGCGGGGCACCCAGTATAGCAGCCTCGACTCCCTGGACGTGCTGAGCCTCACGGATGAGAGTGACAGCTGTGTCAGTTTCGAGGCCCCCCTTACTCCCCTCATCCAACAACGGGCCCGTGATAGCCCAGAGCCAGGGGCTGTACTGGGCATTGGGGACATGGGGTCTGAGGGGGACATAGGGGCAGCTGGCGGTGATGGGGAGCTGGGCAGCCCCCTGCGGTGCTCCATCTCCAGCAGCCGCTCTGAGAATGTTCTGAGTCAACTGTCTCTCACGACTGTACCCAATGGCTTCCACGAGGATGAGCCTCGAGGCCCAGGAGGGGATGAGGATGATGATGATGAGGACACGGACAAGTTGATGAACTCAGCCAGGTGAGCAGGGGCCCGGGCTGGGAGCTGGGAGGACCACTGAGCAGATGGGGAAACTGAGGCCCAGAGGAGGCAGAGGAAATTTGGGTAGTCCTGTGTCTAGTCACAAGCCCTCTTCAAGGCCATCTTGTCCTCCTTCTAAATCCAGACTCCCAGCCCCTGGATCCTGAGGTTCCTTCTTGCCTTTCCAGGTCTCCACAGCTCCCAAGGGCTCAGGCAGCTGTGCTGTGAGCATGTGTATCTCATGATCTCACTTAGAGTCTTTTCTAAAAGTCTGACGTGGTTCCTTTCAGCTGCAGTGAAGCGTCTTTCCCTGTTCTGACCCTCATACGGGCTTTCAGAGGTCAAGGGAAATGTTCTAGCTGTACCCCAGGACCTCTGACCCCCTCCTCTCTGCCCCTCATCCCCTCTGCAGTGACCCCAGCCTGAAGGATGGCCTGTCGGACTCAGATTCAGAGCTAAGCAGCTCAGAGGGACTGGAGCCGGGCAGCACGGACCCGCTGGCCAATGGGTGCCAGGGGGTCAGTGAAGCCGCTCGTCGGCTGGCACGCCGCCTCTACCACCTTGAGGGCTTCCAGCGCTGTGATGTGGCCCGGCAGCTAGGCAAGAAGTGAGTGCTGGCTCTTGTGCCAACCCCAGGCAACCTAGTGTCAACCTGAAGGGGGTGTGGGTGACTCCTATCAGAGGTGCCTGATCCCAGCAGTCTCCAAGGACCATCCCTCCCACTGCTGTCCTCATTCCTGGCCTCGCCCTGAATCTGTTTCCTTTCTGGGCTGCTTGGGTGAGGCTGTTGCTGTCAGGAAGCAGGGGGAGGGTGTTGGGTAGCCCTATAGGGTGGGGGAAACAGGGTGTGGGATGTGGTGATGGTAGTGAGGACACAGCTGTATCTTCATGGTGTTTTGTTTCTTTTCTTTTTCTTATTCCAAATGTATTGCTCTATGTTATAAGTCTCCTGTGAATGGGAGTGAGATCTTAAGGCTTGGTTAGATTAAGGTGGAAATTTATTTTCTTTTTAAGCAACAATTCTTCACTCTAGTGTTCTTGAAATCCTTTCTTTGCTGGCCTCCAGAAATCACCCTCCTAACTTTCTGGAAGTTGTTTCTCAGTCTCTTTCGCTGGCTCACGCTCCTCAATTCATCCTCAAGTGGGGCATTCTCAGAGCTCTGTCTTGAGTCCTGTGCCTCTGACCTGTCTATGCACCCTCCTCACTCGTGGCCTCACTCCTCTTTCCTCCTCAGTTGCTATTGATCACCTGTGGGCTGATAACTCTCATATATATGCACTCAGCCACACCCATTGTCCCAAGCTTGGGCATTTCTCCCAGGGGGCCACTTTCTCTGTCATGCCCTACACCCATTCAATCTCTCCATTCTAAATATCTCTACTCCTATTTCTTCATTTCTCTCCTCGACAGCTACCCTGGCTTCCCTGAGGGTTTCCACTAAACAGTTAGACAGTGTTCTAAAATACAGATCTGACCATCTCACTCATCCCCCTCCTTGCTTCAAACCCTTCAGAATCAAGTCCAGAACCTTCCTCTGGCTCTCAGGCTCTGCCCTCACATCTTCTCCAGCCTCTGACCACGTTGACCCTGCTGGGCAGCTTCGTGGACATGTTTCTCTTCTCTGTACTCTCGGCGCCACCCTATCCCTTACTCCCTTCACTTGATTGACCCTTACTTCCTGCAGATGTTGACTGAGACATCATCTCCTCCAGGGGGCCTTCCTGACCCCTACACATCAAGGTTGAATGGTTAGAGACCAACTGACTAGCAGAGGAAGGCAGCCTAGGGGCTGGGCAGGTCTGAGTGGGTGGGTCAAGGTGCCCTGGCGCCAATCTTCCATTGTTTGGTCATTCGTGGGCTGTACCTTGCTTCTAACAGGACACTCTATGCTCTCCTCACAGCAATGAGTTTAGCAGGCTGGTGGCTGGAGAGTACCTCAGTTTCTTCGACTTCTCAGGCCTGACTCTGGACCGAGCCCTCAGGTCAGTGGGGCTGGGATGGGGCAGTGCTGGCAGATGGTCTAGGTAGGACACTTGGATTCTCCTGCTGGCTCTAGCATACACTTACTGTGAAAACTTGGGCAGGTCTTTGACCCCTCTGGTGAGGCCGTGTGGAAGGGGTCATAAAAGCAGCAGTCCAACAGCTCAATGAGTGCCAACTATGTGGTAGGTATTAAGGATATAAAGTGGGGGAAACGTACCCTGCACTCTTTAGGAGAGGAAAGGAAGGGACTTGCTTGTACTGAGCATGTCCTGTATGCTAAGTGCTGTAGATCTTTACACACATTACTTACTTTATCCTCACCAAGCCTGTAAAGGGTATGTGTTGGTTATCATTCCCATTTTTACCTCTCTTTACCAGAGAGATGTAGAGACTGCCCCAGAGTTATTGAGAGAGGAAATGGTAAGAATGGGACTTGATCTCAGATCTTATTGGTATTTGAAACCAGGGAGTAGACAGTTTTCTTCGCCATCAGAAGGACCAGGTGCAGGTCCCATGGAGCAGAAGAGTGTGGAATGGGTGGATGGAGCCAGTGTTTGGACAGCTGTGGTTTCAGGGGCTACTGAGAAGACACTAGGCCAGGACCCTACACATCATGGGGGAGGTGATATCTCTGCCAACACTTGGAGGGGAGTGAGGGCCACCTAAATGAAGGGATCAGACCTTAGACTTTTTTAGTGTGTCTCATGTCCCTTACATTCTTTTATGTATCCTCTGTTCCTTTTTTTCTCTGCTTCAATTGGGATATTGTCTATTCACTTGCTTTTAGTTCACTTATTCTTGTTTTTTGTGTCTAATATGCTGTTAAACCCCTTTATTGATTTTTTTTTTCAGTTCTAGAATTTCCATTTTATTTTTTTTAATGGATTCTCATTTTCTGAGGAAGCTCCCATCTTGTCACTTGTTTTCTCCATCTTTCTATTTCCTTGAACATATTCATCATAGTTATTTTAAAGTCCTGGTCAGCTAATTCCAGAGCAGGCAGGGCCCTAGCCTGCTCAGAGGCCCTGAGGAGGGAAAGTGCCTGTCCTGTTCAGAATGTGAAGACTGCTTGGGGGTGGCAGCAGGTGGGTGCATGGATGGTTGGAGGGACAGGAGGAGAGGCTGGGGCCGTCATGACATGAGGTTCTTAGATATTATTCTGAGGGTTCTGGGGAGCCAGTGATGAGTTTTAAGTTGGGGCGAGTGTTGACTGCATGAAAGACCACTGGGGCATTGTAGTGAGGAAGTATTGGAGGCTCAGGGAATAGACTTGTGTAGAGGCTCTTGCAGGTGTCATGGGGCATGTGATGAGGGGAGAGGAGGAGAAGGCATTGAGCTTGAGGGTGAGGAACAAACTATTGGGACTTGGTGATGACTTAGATGTTGGGGTGAGGGGAGGGTATGGGAGGTCATGGTTGGGCTCAGAGGAAGCAACTTCAGAAAAGCCATCTGAGGGCTAGGAGTTGATAGCTTGGGCCCAGCTCTAGAGGAGAGAATGAGGAGTGGGTGTTTACCCTGAAGAGGAACTGATGCCCTGAGGTGCTCATATGGCTTTGCATTTCACAATCTGCTTCTATTATGGGCCCTGGAGGGGTGATGAAGGTTGAAACTCTGAAGCTGACCAGGCTCCCTGGCCTCCATGTTTGAGTGGCCATTCTGGGGGCCTGGATCTCCCTGAGCTCAGAGGACATCCAGGACCCCAGCTGCTGGTGCACTAGATCCTCGGCCACCAGGGATGGGTGTGCGTGCATGGGAAGCACCTACTCAGATGATGAGTCAGACTGACTCAGGGCTCTGGGAGGCCCCCAGCAGCCTTGAATTGTCTTCTAGGACCTTTCTGAAAGCCTTTCCACTGATGGGAGAGACGCAGGAGCGCGAGCGGGTACTCACGCACTTCTCCCGCCGGTACTGCCAGTGCAACCCCGAGGATAGCACCTCAGAAGGTATGGCTGCCTGCCCCACCCTGCCCAGCCCACCTGGCCCCTCCTCCCACTCTTGGTCCACCTGCCACCGCTGTCCTGTTGCCAGGCCCAAGTGGTTTGTCTTTTGCCTGGATGAATAAGCTGTGGCACATGGAATGAATCCAGCTGCTGGGCAAGATCCTTCCCAAATATCACACCCATCAGTGTACCCAGAAATTTCCCAATCCTAGAGATTCATCGCTTGGCTCTTCATTTCCTCCTGGTCCCCTGTTGCAATGCTGATTCCTGGTGGGAGTCCTGGGGTGGCAGTCTGGCTCAGGGCTTAAGGGTAGGGCTTACCCTATGGATGAACCGAAGTCCCAGGAACTGGGGCCTAGATCAGTTATTGGAGGAGACACAGACCATGGCAGGTCTGGTGTATCTGGAACCCAGAGCCATTCTTGAGTCTGAGGTACTAGGTGTAGGAATCTGGACTAGAACAGGACCAGAGTGTTCAGATCCCTTCTGAGGGAGCGGTTGGCTCTGCCTGGGGAAGGCAAATAGCTCCTGTACTGCAGTGGGGGTTGGGTAGAGAGCATGACCAGGCCCTGGGTCCAGCAGTGACTGGCCACTTCCTGTCTCTAAGCCCTCCAGGCTGGCTCCATCTGGGAGACAGGAGGGTGGCTGTGGGGAGAGGAATGAGCTGGAGCCTCACATTGAGGGTGCTACCTGCCATCTCTGATTTAGATGGGATCCACACGCTCACCTGTGCCCTGATGCTGCTTAACACGGACCTGCATGGACATGTGAGTAGGGGTGGGGATGTGGGAATGTCCTCTCACTGACCCGTACCGAGCTGTCCATGGGCCCATCCTTAGCCCAGGCCCCTCCCTGAGGCCTCCTCTTCAGTAGTCATGTTTCTTTCAGTAGACCTGGAAGCTGGGCAACTTGGCTTCTAGACTTGGCCCTGCCCTCAGTTCTTTTCACCTGAGAGCTACCTGTGCCCTTGCCCCCAAGACACAGTTGAGGCACATGGGCATTTAGGATGTGCTGAATAAGATGTGCTCCCCTACCAGATTTGCTGGTCTGATAGAGCTTGGTGAAACCCCTGAGACTATGGCCCCTAGCTGCCCTTCAGGTCTAGAATTGAACCCACTCCTGTGGCTTCCAGCCAAACAGGTATATGAGCTGAACTTTTACATTAGGTAGATACACTCCTTGGAGAGATGAACCATGTGAAAATAGAAGGGCTGTGTATACACAGGGAGACAGCTTGGAGGCAGGAGTGCATGGGAGGGAAGGACACAGGGAAGAGGTGGCTATGGGGAGGAAGTGGGAGGGGGGCTGCTGTATTGTGGGAAACTGCAGTCAATGTGATGAGACAAAATGTATGTGAACTGCTGTATGGAAAATGAATTTTATCTGTAAACTTTCACCCAAATCACAATTAAAAAAAAAAAAAAAAAAAAGATGTGCTCCCTTAGCTTTGTCCATGCCGGACATTGCTAAAAGATTGTGTATTCTTCCCACCTCTTGTCCCACAGCCCAACTGTGGCCCTGTCTTAGGACCATGCCCCAGGCAGCCACTACCAGTCAGTTGGTGGGTTGCCTTCAAGAGGCATACTTAACACCCCAACCCACCAGTAGGCAAATCAAGTGAAGTAACTGGTATGAGTGCCTCATGCTATGAGGGCCATGCCTGGTCCAGGCCCTCAGCAGACTCAGTGCTTGCTTCTTGTGGCTCAATAATTCCTTCTTTCTTCTTCTGTCTGCTCCGGGGACCCTCTCTTTGGGCTCTCTGCCCTCCCTCAGGTGGTAAGTGTAGCTAGTGGTGTGCATGCCTCTGTGTGCCTGGACCATCATCTCCATGTGACCCTTCTATGTCCCCCATCCTGCCATCTGGCCCTACCCAATCATTGCCCCATCGTCATTGCTCAGCCATGGGTGGTCAGAGCTCCCGTGCACTGGATTGGGGATATTTTAGTAACTCATGGACACCATAGGCCAGCAAGTCTGGTTCAGGGGTTAGTAGGAAAATCCAGGGGATATCAGGTGGAAGAAAGAACTGAGACAGACATGGCTTCAGATCCTACACTTGCCACCATGTGGTAGCTGTGTGACCCTGGGCAAGTCACTGGCTCCCAGGTTCCACACCTGTGAGAAGGGAATGATGGCTTCCCTCATAGCATCAACAGAAGAACTGTGAGAGATAATATACAAAATGCCAATGTCAGTGTCTGGCACCCAGTAAGGATTTTATTATGAGTAATATTATTATGTAAGAATAACAATAGTATCATTAATATTAACTTTAAAGTAATAGAGAACCAGAAGATCCAGTTGAGGCTCTCAGGGCATCAAGAATTTGAGGGCTGTGGTCTGAGGTAGCCTGAGCAGGTGTTGGGAGAGGAGGAACTGGAACACTGGGCAGAGCTCATGGGCACATGGGGTCTTCTGGGTCTGGGGAAGGCTAGTGCCTTGGTGCCTTCATCAGGAAGAACAAACATTGACAACTTTAGTCAAGTCTGCCTGGGCTGGAGTCTGAGTGTGAAATGAGAGAGACTTGTGTAGTTCATGTGCATGTCAATAAGAACTGATGTTCCTCCAAGATAGCTCACTGTTTACTGAGGGCAGGTATTGCTGGCATTCCTTGAAAGGAGTGCTAAACACTTTTTCCACCCCTGGCTGGGCCTAAGAGCAATCCCAGGCTCTAGTCACTGCTGTGCCAAGCCCTGGATGCCCCTCCCCACAGAACATTAGAACCCCTAATGAGCTCCGCAGCCACTACTCAGTGAACCCTTAGGTTGAGAACAGCATTGTCCCCACATCTCTGAGCTGGGTGGGTATTAGCTGGCCATGGTTCCATGTAAAAGCCCACAGCTAAAGAGAAACATCAATACCTTGATAGAACTGAAGAGGTTGAGGGAGAATTGTTCATATATGCGATAGGCGTAAGTGTTGTTAGGTGCCCTTGAGTTGATTCCCACTCATAGCAACCCTACCTATACAAACAGAATGAAACACTGCCTGGTCCTGTGCCATCCTCATAATCATTGCTTGAGCCCATTGTTGCAGCCACTCTACCAATCCATCTCGTTGAGAGTCCTCCTCTTTTTTTTCTGACCCTCTACTTTTCCGCATGATGTCCTTCTCCAGGGTCTGGTCCCTCCTGATAACATGTCTAAAGCATGTGATATGAAGTCTCATCATCTTTGCTTCTAAGGAGCATTCTGACTGTACTTCTTCCAAGACAGATTTGTTTGTTCTTCTGGAAGTCCATGGTATATTCAATATTCTCCACCAACAACATAATTCACAAGTATCAATTCTTCTTCAGTCTTCCTTATACATTCTCCAGCTTTTGCATGCATATGAGATGATAGAAAATACCATGTGTTCTGGTTACCTAGTGCTGCTCTGACAAGAAAATACCACAAATGGGATGGCCTTAACAAACAGGAGTTTATTCTTACAGTTTGGTGGCTTTAAGTCTAAGTTCAAAGTGCCAGGCTCTAGGGGCTGGGTGAAAGCCCCTCAACCTTGAGGTCCAGCTCTGCCTCCTGCTCCCAGCCCACTGGAGCTAGACACGTTTCTTCACTCAGAGAGCTGTTGGCTGCTGAGGCTGGGAAGTCCCAAGGTTTACAAGTAAAAAGGCACAGTCATGATGTTACCAATCCACATGGCAGGCCATTAACTTAAGTCCACTGTAAGTCCCAAGGTCGGCAGAGCATAGCAGGCTGCTGAGCAACGACACGGCTACATGCAGGGTCCAAGCATGTCAGAGGCTAGAGACCATTCCCAAGGCTTCTCCTTATATACAGGAAGCAGACCACATCCCAAAGGCAGCTACTCAGCTGCTTGTGGTAGATCCCATCATGGAGTTGATTGCCAGTCTCATCACGGGGAATAACTACCACCACCTGCCCAACCACTCAACCAGGCCTAGCCAAGCTGACACAAAAACATAACCACCACACCATGGCTGGGGACAGACATTCAGGATCTTGTATTTCTCTCTGGAGGCAGTATTCCTTGATGATTGTTGTTGTTAAGTGTTGTTGAGTCAGTTTCAACTCATAGTAACCTCATATACAACAGAACAAAACACTGCCTGGTCCTGCGTCATCTCACAATCATTGCTATGCTTGAGCCCATTTCTGCAGCCACTGTGTCAATCCATCTCATTGAGGGTCTTCCTCTTTTTCACTGACCCTCTACTTTACCAAGCATGATGTCCTCCAGGGACTGGTCCCTTCTGATGATAAGGTTGGGGTCAAGGATTCTGGGTCACAGTCCTCTGCATTTCCACATGATGGCTGTGTGGCCCTGGGCAAGTTACGTATCTCACTAAGCCTCAGTTTCCCTATCTCTAAAGCCCTTGTGAGGCTTAAGGGAGATAGCACTTAGCCCAGAACCCGATTGTTGCAGTTATTGTGAGCTCTTCAAAGGAACCCTGATGACAGCAGCATCCCCTGCTTTGTGCATTTTTCCTCTCATGCTCTTACCCTGCCATTTGTCAAATAGGGACTGAGCACCTGGTGGAATATGGGGATCGCAGGAACATGGACTCTGCTAACTCTGGTCAGAGAGGAGCAGTAAAGAGCTGTCAGGGATGTAGATGCAGGCTCCACAGGTGGGCTTGGCCTGGTGGAGGAATCAGGAAAGCTTCCTGTGTTGTTGTTGTTGTTGTTATGTGCCATTGAGTCGGACTTGACTCATAGCGACCCGTCCTTGGGTTTCCGAGGTGATATCACTACAGAAGTAGATTGCCCAACCTTCCTTCTGAGGAGTTGCTGGTGGATTTGAACTGCTAGACTTCTGGTTAGCAGTCAAGTGCCTTAGGCACTACTCTACCAGAGTTCCTAACTTCCTATAGGAGGGGGATTTGGATTCTAGGGAGGCTCAACAACAATCCCATCTGGTGAGCAACCTCTATTTTCCATGAACCAGATGGGAAAGACTTGAGGGTGCCTATATTGTGGTTGGAAGAGATAGAGAAGTGATTGCAAATAGCAATAGATCTATGAAGGGAATAAACAGGCGGGGGTTGGGGGGCTGAATTGGGAGTCAGGATGGCCCCTCTGAGGAGGCAGGATTTGGGAAGAGACCTGGAGGCTCAGCCAAAGCCAACCATGGAAAGATCTGGGGGGAAAAGCATTCCAGGCAGAGGAACCAGTAAGGGCAAAGGCCTGAGGCAGGAAGGAGATTGGCAAGTGCAAAGCCCCAAAAGATCAGTGTGGTGAGAAGAGGACCAGAGGGAGGCAGGGCCATGTGGGACCGTCTCTGGTAAGGAGTTTGAGATTTTATTTCAAATGTTGGGAAGCCACCAGAATGGGTTTCTTTTTTTTTAATGCATTTTATTGAAATATAATTTATGTACAGTGAAATACACAAAAATAAAGTGACGTGGGTCAAGGCTTTTTTTTTTTGCAGTGTTCCCTCTGCTCCCCTCCCACCCCTGGCAACCAACAAACAAAATTTCCCTCCATATATAAACCTTTCCTTGACCCTCCACAACGACGAATTAATACTGTGTTTGTCCTTATGTGATTGACTTATGTCACTCAACATAATGTCCTCCAAGTTCATCCATGTTATGCAGTGTTTTGCAAACTGTACATTATTCTTTAGTATTGCATAGCATTCCATTATGTATATGTACCATAGTTTGGTCATCTACTCTTCCGCTATAAATCTTAGAGATAAGTCCCTTGCCAGATATGTAATTATTGGCAAATATGAATGTGTTGCTGTCATTTTTGTTATGTGCTTTTTCGTGGTGTCGATTTCTTTGTTCCATATAATT